TATTAGAGACTTCAAGCTTGGGTATTCGGATATTGGTTGATCAGGTGGCGAGTCTATTTCGAAACGAAGCTCTTTTTCTTTTGGCACTTCGTTGCTCTCTTGTTCGCTGATCGTATTTTTCGGTATGACATTTCCAAATGCATTTGTCAACGCCGATTGGCGGTTTCGTGTGGATTTTCTTTGGGGTGCCAGTGCTGGTGGTGTACTATTCTGGTTTTGACGTTTTGGTGAAGGAGCTTCATATTCAGAAGATGTGGAGAATCGGTTGTCGTCGGAGTAGCTCGAGTCTTGCTTCTCGGGTGCTGTCTTTTCCTTTTTTACAGTATCGTCCGTTTGTACGCTCATCCCTCTTGTTTGTAGGTTCTGTGTTGGGCGTCCCCCAGTTCTTTTCCCCGATGCCTTTGCCTTTCGCTTTGTTGGGCTGCTCGTTTGTTGTCTTAGTGTCTGCTTCTTCGTTTGCTTCACTGGCAGGCCCGTAGTCTCATTCTCTTTGAACCTTGCGTGTTGTGGCGGGTTGATATTTTCTTTGTCTGTTTTTTGTTGTGTCGGAGAATTTGTTTTTTTTTGTAGTTTCTTTGGCATTTGTGGGCTTGCTCTCCCTTTTTCTCTGATTGACACTTCGTCTTCCGACCATCTTTGTAGATCATGCATGATCTCTGCGGGTAATGGTGGCTTTTTGAGGTTCTTTCTATATTTCTCAAGTGAAATTTCAAGGTTTTCTTCGTCTAATCTTTCCAAAATGGCTTTTAGTTTCTATTGGTGCAATTCTGTAGATCCTTTCGTAACTATCAGTATGTCGTCTAAGTATGCATATGAGTTCGTGCAGTTTGTTAAGTTTAAATCAATTGTTTTTTGAAATTCGGCTGGCATATCCGTGAGGCTGTAAACTCCTGTCTGGAATTGATACGTTCCCGTCGCATTGCTACCGATTAGACTGAAGTTGCATAGTTCGCACGTTGGTTGATCCAGCGGGATTTGAGAGTATGCGTAACGAAGATCAAGTTTGGAAAACAACGTCTGTTTTGTTTTGTATGATTTAACGACTTGAGCGATGTTACTCAGCAATAAATCAATGTTAGGCATTTGGTATTTGTTTTTATGAATAAATTTGTTGATTTTCTTGGAATCCAACGCGAGTTTTACTGTTTGATCTTTTTTTAGTGTGATGACAATTGGACTGATAAATTGTTGATCGGAACACTTGTCTAGTTTGATAATGTGTTTCTGGTCAATTAATTTGTTTAATTCCCCTTCCACACGTTCTCGGAGATGTATTGAAATGCGTCGACGTTTTTGTTGCATCAGTACAAACTCTTGAATGAACTGTGTTTTCAACGTATGATTTTTGGATTTTCCGATACATAAGCATAGTTGTTGAAAATTGTCTTTGACCCATTGTTTAATTTCTGGATCAGACTCTTCTTGTTCTCGTATAACATTAACGTTTTGTTTGTGTTTTTCTTGGATTAATTTGATACCAATCTGCGGTAAAATATTTCGTCATATAATATCTGCTTTTTTGTCATCTACCACAATGAAAGGAGCTGATTGGATTTAATCAGTCTTCCCTTTGGAACGATCGTTTCACCATTGTAGCACGCTAAGTTTCTTGCGGTGTCTCCTGTTGGAATGGTTTTGAACAGTGCCTTTTTGTCGTAGTGTTGAATGCGCCGTGAAGTTTTTTTCGTTTAAGAACGACATCGGGCTACCCAAATCGGCTATAGCATATAATTGCTCTGAACTTGTCTTCAATTTGACGATGTGTCCGTTTAAGTCATCTTCAGCTAGTGTACTTGTGTTTTTAATTTCGAATGATTCCGCAATTGCCATCACCGAAAATTTGTCTATTTGAGAATCTTCCCAGCCGCTGCTTGAAGAAAATTCAGCTCCATTTTTAGTCTCTAGCTCCTCCTGTTGGTCAATTTGCGTGTCTTTTAAATAGTTTACGTGCGTGGACCGGCGTATTTTAGCGAAATGACCCCGTTTGGCGCATTTCGAGCAAATTTTATCTTTTGCAGGGCAGGACAGTAAACGGTTTTGATTATACTGATTTCCGCATTTATAACACTGTTTTTGACTACCTGTGTTGGTATTTTTTTGTTGACCTCTGGTGTTTTGTGAACCGCGTGGGAAAATTTGCCCTCGAGCGCCTCGCCCTCTTTGTATGTTTGAAGTATTAGAGTAGTTATAGCGGCCCCGCGTGTTTATGTAGTTGACCGGTTCTTGTTTTGGCGTAATCTGATGTCCTCCGAAGGGATTGGTTTTCATAGTACGACGATGTTCAGTTCATTTTTTCGACGTACTGCGTATTCGAACGCGTCTTGTGGGCTCCTTGTTTGTGCCAACAGTTCTTCTGCGATTTTGTCACTGTTCGTGTATGCTGTGAGCAAGTCCCTGACCCATTCGTCTTCTCGGTCACCGCAGTCAGCTCGTGACGCTAGTTCCACGAGATCCGAATGAAATTGTCCTAAGCTTTCTGTTTTTTTTTGTTTTCTACAGATAAAAATGTATCTTTCAAAAGCAATTATCCTAGTTGTCACAAAAATATCCCCGAGTATTGTCATCAGTTCTTGTGTGGAGACGTTATGTAGTTCCAAATTAGGCCTTTTCTGTTGTATTTGTCTTTGTCCTTCTGCTCCTAAACATAAGAATAGGTAGCTGCGCACTTTTGCGTAGGCTTCGTCCCATCTGAATGAATTGCAAAGTACTCCTTATTCCCGGGCTTTTATAACGTGATTCTCCCAACCAACTCTTTTCTCTTGGTTTCTGACCTCTCTGTTCTTCCTTTGTGCCTCAGTTTCTTCCGTGATTTCAAGTTCGTAAACTGGCTCTGGCGGTTCGACTAAATTTGGTCGGGCTCTCAGTAAATTTCGCACTTCTATCCCATCCTTCACGAATATGGCCATTTCCACTATTGCTGCCCACTTAGTCCACTCTAGCGGTGGTTCGGCAGATGCCTTCTCCCAGAACGGGTTAATGTTTAGTGGGTTTTTGGAGTATCCTGCTGGTTGCGCCATGTCATACCTCAACAAAATGATCTTCTAATTCTGGAATCCGAATGGATCGATAAACAGATATTATAATGCGAAGCGAGATAAAACAACTAGTTTTAACCATTGTTTGTTTATGGTCTGACCGTTCGTTCGGTCGTCATTTGAGAGAAGGTCTCTCAAGGTCGGCTAACCGGCCAAATATATGGTTATAACATAACTCAACCTAAATAACATGTATAAATATATGTATATCTAAGTTTAGCCGATCCATGCCGGATGACAGGGGGAGAGGAAAAAGCTTCAAACTAAATAATTCTCTTTTCTCATCTAGGACACCAGAATTTGCAATTGACCCAATTTGAAAAAGTTTGCAGAAAAAAGCTAACTTTTCAAACCAAATTTGTGTCTCAAGGTTGCCTGAAACATCGAAGTTTTACGGTTAAAAATCCTAATATTGAAAATCGCAAAAGGTGTATGTAAATTATTGGATTAAGTTAACATCCTCCTCCCCAAATTTACAAAGTTAAGATTTTCCATCCTAGCGTTCAGTTTAAATTAAATTGGCTGCGTATTGGCTGAAAAGTTGAACTCAGAACCAAGGTAACACCCCTCCCTAAACGGCTCTAGGGGGAGAATGCTAGTTTGGTCCAAATTATCATTTTTCAACCTGTGGACCGAATTATAACATCTTCTAAAATCTTTTCAGATTCGATTTTTTGAACTTGCTTTTTAAAAGTTTTTGAGTATATGTTTCGGTTACACAATAGTCGTCTTAGAGGTATATCAAAAATGACCTGAAAGTATGGCAGGTCCTAGAGGGCGAGATGAATGGTAATAGTCATTTTTATGTGTTGGCTGGATATTGGGCGAGTTATTGTGAACTGCCCGGGCACTTAATGGATCAGTCTCTTCTCCATAAAAAGACCAGCCAAAAGGGGTGAGTATAAAGGCTGGTTTAAGAAGGGATGGGGCTGAGTTGTCTGACTGCGTCAATCGGAGATAAAAGCACCTCAATTACAAGTGCAAACAGCCCCATAATACCATCACCCATTCATTCAGCCGAAAATCAAACAAAGTGTCAGTAAGCCTAAAATGAATTTCTTTTTTCAATCTGAACGTTGGCGAAGCTCAAGTGAAATGTCTCAATGGTCTGAAGTCTTTCTTCGAATGGAAGTTTCATGTTGACAGTTTTTCAAATACTCGATTTTTTTTGAAGTTTTATGAACATTTCGGTGAAAAAAAAAATTCTTACGAACGTTTTCAATGCTTTTCGGTTTTACTCTCTATCGTACCATAGAACAGGCCAAAAACATTTGAAAATAATCGCCGTTAAAAGTAAAAGCTAAAATTAATCCCTAAGGGTTGAACTGGACTTATACTGCATTTAGTTTCTTGCTAACCCTCCACCCTGCTCGGTAAAAAATTAAACTGTCCCAAATGTATAAATTAAGGAGACATTTCATTTCCAACCCTGCAATTGTCAAGACTACCTGAAAACACATGGCTTATGAAGTTGCTTAGCTTCTTACAGTTGAATGACAGACTTAAATACTTTCAGAGGGGTCTTTGTAATCCGTTTTGCACAAATGTCGCCTTGACGTAAGCTTTAATTTTCTATACAGCTTATTATTATTTAATGTCGTTAATATTTCATGACTTTCACCAGTGAATTTGCTTCACCTTTTTCAATAAAAAGAATTTTATGACCAAGCTAATTCATTTTTGTAATTTTTGAACAGCGGGTAATTTTCGAGTTTAATTTGTTTAACATTGGACCAAGGCCTTTCGAGTTGACTCTACAAAATAGATAAGTGACTAAAAACAATTGTGTTTTGTTTTAATTTAATTTGTCTTATACATTTGAATCACCTCCCTCTCAACGGTAAGCCTCAGCTTTTTCATCTAATGTTTATAAATTTGGAATTATACCAGCTACTCTCAATTTTGAAGCGATATGAACAAAGCTCTGTTTACTCAAAATTTCACCTACTCTGTTGATTTTTTCAGCTTATAGGTGGCGAGATGGCGGGAATATTTGCCACGTTATTGAATCAGTGATGGGACCTCAAGCAAATTATACCGACATAAGCTGGAAAGGAAATAAACGCGCTGGCGATCTAAATTGTCTTCAAAAGTAAATACAAATCGACATTTGTGGCGCGTGGCGAAAAAAGGAAAAAACCTGGAAATGAGCAATTAAAGAATAACGAAAAAATTTCATGAGCCTGATACTTTGTGCTTTTAGAAATTAATCAGTCAAACATTTTGTTATTCATTCATATCAGTTTTTTATTTGAAAATTGACAGTAAGACATTTTTTGTTTACTTCACCAGAAATATCTGGAGAAGAAATTATTTTGAAGCCAGTAGAGTTCAAGTTCAGTGCATCCAGTTTACATTTATGACATCTGGACGTTATGGACGGCTCTGAAATCAAAGCCAGTCTCAAGGTTGAATTAAAAAGGGAAAATGTGCTATTCCAAGTTCCCATATTATTTCCTTGGAATTACTTTTTATGATTTTATGGATCGAAATTTGAACGCTGATTATCATTAAAAAAAGACTACCAAGAAAAAACTTCAATTGCTAAACAGCCGGAGAAAAGAGAAAATCGAGAAAATTTGAGTGTTTCCAAGAAACTTTTAATCTAGAAAGCTTGAAGATGCGCAATCAAATTGGCGAATTATAAGACCCTCATCGAATACGGGAAAAGACACTGAAAAAGGCGAATAAGAAATAGTATCAAAAACTGAGAAAGAGAATTGATATCCAGAAGATCAAAATGCTGAACACAACCACAGCCGCCAAAATTTCCCTGGCGTGTTCAACGATGTCCGCAATGCTCATTGGATTTCTGGGAAACTCCATCATCATATTCCTGTTCGTTTTCAACAAAGGTGAAAGTCTAGCCTTTTTTATCAACCCCCCCCCCCAAAAAAATGGCACCTATTTTTTCTGACTCCCCTGCAAGACAAAAGTTCGACGGTTATAAAAACCAATATGTGGTTATTATTAACTGTTTATCAGTTTTATTATTTATTGAATAACAAGTGTTGAGGGGTGGGGTTATTATAACTAGATCCGAGGAGAGAAATGTAGCCCTTTTGCTGTTGAAATATATCTCAAAAAGTGACATTTGTGGCTCGTTTTGCATTAGTGTTTGTTTAGGGCAGGTGGGCAAATAAGACGTGTTATAAGGGCGGCAGCTAAAGGGGACCCAAAACAAAAAAGGAAAATATTTTAACTATTTTTCAATGCTTAAAAACCAGCAAACTGTTGTAACTAAAAAAAAAACTAAACGAGAAACAATAATAAATTTTTGTGGACGTTCGCGGCTGATTCATTATTTCAAGACATTTTGTCAATGGATGGTACACTAGCAAATTGAGAGTTTTGAAGCTGAAAATTATTGATAACACTGTCAGTGGTTGCGGCCAGTAGCGGATTTAGGGGGGAGGGGGCTTCGAACCCCTGCCGACCCAAAGGGTCCCCCATTTGTACTATTTTGAGATATCCATTTTAGGCTGAATGGCCCTACTAATTTTGAGGGGGGAGCGCGCGCCGAAAAAACGCGAGTTTTTGGTCAAATTTTTCCAAAAAGTGACTTTTTTCAGAAATTTACCTCTGCGGCGCAGAAATTTTGGTTAAAATGAGTTTGGGAGAGCTCAGAAAATGAATCTGGTCGACGTAAAAAAAAAAAGGTCGCCAAAATTTTCAATTTTTTTTGAAAATCCGCCACCCCTCGAGAACATAATCCTAGAGCCGCCCCTGGTCGCGGCAAAACTTGCACTCAGAATAGTTAAAACAAAACATACCTAAACTTTTTCCTGATCACAATCCAAATGATTTTTTTCTTTACCTAACACCACAGCCAAAATCATTTCCGCAACAGCTCATTTTCACTATACACATGTCTTATTATTTGTTTGTGAATTAGACAAACTGTTCCAGATTCCGCAAATACTCTTGCGGGGGACCGACCTTTTACCAGACCAACTTTTACCAGAAAAGTTATAAAATGGACCTTTTACCAGACTCGATAAACAAATTTGATTGACAGATATAATGACGCCGTTTAGTCTGGTTAAAGACAATGATTTCACGGTTTCTCAGCGAAGTTTTGTTTGTTCTAACCGCTTCCTTTTCGAATCTTCCGCTCTAATTTAAATGTATCTTAATTGAATTATTGCATTGTGGTCTGGTAAAAAGTCGGTCTGGTAAAAGAACTAGCCTTCTCTCGCGGATTCCATATTTTTTGGGCAATTTTGAGCGGTACAGTGATTTAGGTATTTATTTGGGTGGAATTCAAAACAGAAAAAATAATTAAAGAAAAGTAGCAATATTGAGGATTCCGCGACAAATCTGATTTTGGCCTCTTACGGAATCCGCTTACAATGCACAGAATGCACAATTTGGCGTCGTAATGATATAGCTCGAACTTTTCCAAAAATTTAATAACGAATTTTTTTGGTATAGCACTTTACATTTCTTCAGAAAATTGATTATTAAAGGTCTGCATGAAACTACCTTTATAAAAGAACTACACTAAAAACGGAATTAAGAGAGTTATTTACCGCAAATTGTTTCAGGGAAATAGATTTTTTTGATGTTTTCATATCAAGCGTCTCCGTGACATTAAGAAACTGTGGAATTAAGATTAGCTGTAGCTGAATGGTTGAAATAAATGTCCGGATTGGTCTTGCACCGCAAATTGGTACTGCTTTAGTAAGATTCTTGTTATTTTCCAGTAATGCATCAGACTCCGCAAAGTTCCACTTTGACAGCTTAAGTTTTAATAATCAGTTTAACCTTTTAAAAAATTTTACGGCAAAAGTTAGGCAAGCTTTTAGAACCTCGCCCAAGAATGAGCAATTTTGGAACCGATTAATGTTGTCATGCCCATTGTCATTGGAGCGATTGAATGAAGCTAAACAGTTGAAATTGAAAGTCAAAAAGACGCCTTACAGCTTAGAACAAATTGAGATCTTCTAAAAAAATTATAGCATCAAAAATTATAGCAACAAAACGTTATTTTTTGGTAATATAAATTTTTTTCTTTATGCAGCTTGTCTTAAGTTCGTATGTGTTTCTGCAGGGGCGGATCTGGGATTTTCTCGAGGGGGCGGATTTTCAAAAAAGTTCGAAAATTTTGTCGACCTTTTCTTTTTTTAGGTCGACCAAATTGATTTTCTGAGCTCTCCTAGATCACTATAAAGATCCCAATTTTTGACCAAATTTTCTGCGCCGCAGACAAAATTTTGAAAAAACAGGCCAAAAAGGCGTTTTTAAGCAATGTTAGGAAAATTTTGACCAAAAAATCGCGTTTTTTCGGCGCGCGCACCCCTTCAAAGTTAGTATATATTGGCGTCAAAGGCGCTTTTAGAAAAATTTTAGGGTCCGTCACCAAAAATGGATACCTCAAAATAGTACAAAGGGTGACCCTTTGGGTCGGCAGGGGGTCGAATTCCTAAGGGGGGGGGGTCCGCCCTCCCTCCTAAATCCGCTGGTGTGTTTCTGCATATGCATGAGACCCGTATCGTCAATAGGCCAATATGGTTTTAACATGGTAACAAACGCGACCCATCTGAGCTTTTATTGAAGTATCTTAAGCAAGCGGGTAAAAACCCAAACCTGATCATTGTTCCTTCTACCCTTCGGTACAATAAAATCTGTGGTGTGCGCAGGAACTCTAAAGAAGGCGATATCTTTTTAGGTTGATTGATTTGATTTGCCAAGCTCTCTTTAAACCCTATAAATACCCTAGTTGCCAAAAACTTATGCGCCGCAAGCAAATCTTTGAAAAAAACAAGCCTAAAATGATAAACTTGAGCACTTCTTGAAAAGTTTCAGCAACAAAAAAAAACAAGTTTTGGCGCGCGCTTCCCTCAAGTTTAGGGTATATTATAGCCGAACGTAATTTTGAGCCTTCATGTCTTTCCATCATCTCTCTTTTTCTCTTTTCCCCAAAAATAACCATGATTGGAAACATTAGAAAGAGGGAAAAGAGCCGTTTTATTTTTGTGTACTAGGTCTGCGCAATGGGACCAACATGCAGCTGGTGAATGTGGCGGCGTGTTACATGACCACAGCTGTGCTCCACATGCCCGCCTGTCTCATCTCCATCTCCTCCGGACCCCATCCCCCCTTCAGCCCCCTCTTCTGCAAACTACTTCAGTTCACAAACGACCTCATATACATACAGGTATTAGTCACAGCAGACACAGAGAACACAAAACGACTTTACGAAGAGACATACTTGACGCGCAATGAGCTCGAAAACTTCCAAAAATCATTTTTATTGCAATTAAAACAGAAAAAAATATATATCACAGATAAAAAAAACAGAAAGAGTTTAAAAAATATGACTACATGCAGGTATTGTTCACAGACTGTAGTAGTTTTTAGTGGTTTTTGGGAACCTTCTGAGTTATGGACTTATTAACCATGTACAGCGAATACAAGAGACGGAAAACTGAACTAGTGGGCATAATTGATAGATATTTAACTTAACAATTTTAAAGACCATTTTTTTGTTTTGAAAAATTTAACAGCCAAAAACAGTTGAAAATAACGACCCAGCATTCAAGCATTTAATTTAAACAATCATTAAACGCCGAGGCAAAAACGAGCAAGGCATCACTTGAGATACACTAGAAACATAGCATGGCAAGCTAGCAGAAAATGAAACAAAAACACGAGGTCGAAAAAGTTATTTTAGGGAAAAAATTGGGAAAATAAGATCGACCAAAATTTTTTTAAGTTTGTCTCGAGTCGACTTAACTTTGAAAAAATAAGTCAAGAGAGCCAATTATCAGCGTTTAAATTGGCATTGAAGCGATCGAAACAAGAATAGATCATAGCAAAATTAGTTGAAGATTTGAGAATAGAAGTTTTTTGATAGAAAAAAAACTATTTTTTTTAAAGAAAAAGGGCAAATTACAAACAAGGATAGCCGGTTAGTAAGCAGTTAGCGCAAGGGTAGCCGGTTAGTTAGCAGATAGCGCAAAATGTTTCGACCATAGTCTTAAAAAATACAACCAAAAAAGAATATTTTTCGATATGAGTGTTGTTTTTTTGCGTGTTGTGACGAAAGGATCTGAACAAAAAACTTTAAAAAATGTTCGAGAATCATAGTAAAATAGGCAATTTAAAAAACATATGAAGTAAAAAATAAATGACCAGAAAACAAACTAAAAAATAGCAGTTTCAAAAGGGCGCAGAAATACTAAAACAACTAAGTTTTATCCGAGTAAAACTAAGTTTTTGATGCTTAAATTAAGCTATTGTAAGCTTTTAAGCTATTAAAATAAGCTATTGTCGCTTTATTCGCTCGAAATTAGACAAAAAATTACAAATTTCACACCCGTTTTACCAAACGCTGGGAAAACTTTTGATTTTTTTTATTCCGTTTAAATTACGTAAGTCACGGCTTTAATATGATATATCATTCAACGGCTCCTCAGAATTTTTTAAATGTTGAAAAGTTGTTCATACAGTAGTATTCATTGTTCACGCTGGCACGTTTTGTTGCAGCTAAGATTATAAAAAGTCATTATAAATAAGTTTTCGTAAAATAAATTTCAAAAAAAAATTCGAAGGGGGGAACTGGAGAACAGCCCATTCAACTCACTCCGATGATTATTTGTGGTAGCTGATTTTGCAAGGAAAACAAAAAAAAAGAAAAAAACACCCGAACACAAAGTTACTTCCCGTTTTTCAAACGGTCATCCATTATATACTGACAAGGTTAAATAATAGAAATTATGAAAACAGAGGCCCCTGAAAAAAAACCTTCAGATCTAATAACGTAAACAAACCTTAATCATGTTAAAACTAGCTCTTGGTGAGGAGGGTTATTCTCATGCGTGAAGGACCGAATGCGCGAAATTTCTCAACCAAACAAAGCCCTTTAAACTGTTCAAAATTGTTTAATTTGTTGCTCATTTCTTTCAAATTATTCAATTCTGAGCACTTATTGGTTGAAAAATTTTTCGCGCATCTGGTCCTTTGGGCGAGGAATCTCCCTTGGTGAACATCAAGAAAAAATTGAGCTTTGTTGTAACTTCAATGAACTCTAGTGTAAACACACGGAAAATTGAGGCGCGCGGTGAGCTTTCAAAATGTTTTTTTTTTGGATAAATTACATATTCAAATGATAAAAACGTTTTTATTTAAAATTTCACCAGCCTTGACATAACCAGAGATTAACTAAACAATTGGGTAATTGAAACTCATAAATTTTCTCCTTTAAAACTCATAAATGAAGTGGTTAGGTTTCCGCCTCTCAGACGAATGGTAGGATGTTCAAGCCCACCATTATGCGTGCTCGCTGCTTGAGGGTCAGGCAACATACCCGCTTGGAAAAATAGCCGAAAAACTGTGCATGTTTTTCTGGGGGCGCAAAGGCGGTTCTCCGTGAAGAGCTGAACACCTCACATCTTGGTCCTTTACCTTAAAGGAAAAATTATCTTAACTCATGGAACCCCCTCAAGAACTGTTTTTGAAAATCCGTCCCTCCCCCTTTGAGAAAAATCTAGATTTGCCCCTTCACGCCAAAATGAAAGTTGACTTTTTTTCCAGATATGTTTCGCGACGTGCGCCCTCGCCTTCTACCAGTGTTTCTCAATCAAACCTTTCTTGACTCTCAAAAGATCGAACAGCGGATCTCAAACTGCAGTCGTAAACAACAACAGGTTGAAATACTTGTTATGTCTGATCACGTGGGTCCTGTCTACAGGCGCCAGTGTGACGTCACAGCTATTCAACGCAGATTGTTCCGACGTGTTTGCAAGATATTCGAACTTTATCATTTCGTGGTCTGTCTTCATCGGCATGTTCGTGCTATGCTCCTTTATCACTCTGGGGTTTCTGGTCATGACTTATTCACGCATCAGCAGAGCCAGAAGTTTGCTGCCACAGAGAATGAAAATGGTCGACACTGTAAGTCAAACTCCTGGAAATTTTTAGAAAAAAAAATAAACTAATTTTGGCTAGCAAGCTTATGATATTAGCAGCAGGTTGAAACTTGGAAATTGTACATTGAGCTAATTCCGTTATGACAAACAGGTGAAGGCGACTTGTACTTTGGACCGGTTCTCCAAATCAGTGACGACCTCCCTAATCATCTTCGTCCAGTCCTTCTTCTGTTCCACCCCTCTGGCCGTGTACAGAGTATTCGCTGGCAGACACATTATAGAGAACAGATACTTCTACTCTCTCTGTCTTGTACAGCTGTTCTTCATGCAGGTCAAAGCACCCACGTTTCTCATCATACCATATCAAATCCCCTCCCCAATGTATAAAAACTACTGAAAACTATTTTAAAATTCTATTTAAAAGTTTCGGATATATTCTATAGCTCTTTTCGCTTCACTTTTTAAGACCCTCATATGGTCACGGGAACTTTTAGTTTTCACGCGATGAATTGAACAAATTTTTTCCTAGTTTCTGCCGTTTTCTAAACAAATTTTGGAGGTTTACGGATGAAAGTTTGACAGATGATGGATGATACTAATTTTTAGAATATAGCCGGATAAAAAAACACAGCGAAAGTTTGTTTTCTAGACATTTTTCGGCAATTTAATTAAGAGTAGTCAGATAAATGTTTTAGAGCCAGAAATAAGAAGTAAAATCAATTTGAAGCTTCGAATTTACACAGAGGCGAAGCTGCGCTTTGCAAACACTTGCAAGAATACGACTAAAAAGTAGCTCTATCAAGTGAAATAAGAAAAAGTATAAATAAGCCTCGATTTAGCAAAAACTCGGCTACGTGTAGGGTTCGAATCTGCGACCTACAGCAATCAACAGATTTTGAGTCTCACGCACTATCCATTGAATCACGCAAGCTTAACAATCGACAAACACTAGTCACAAATCAAGCAGCTACATATGCTAATTACTTTGAGTGTACCAAATTGCAAAGCATAAAGCCACAATATGTATAAATTATGGATTTCAAAAAATTGCGAGATAAATTGAGTTAGAAAATGCATCAGCTGTGTTAACTGATTGCTATTCGAATATCAAAGCACATGCTATGAATAAGCTGTAAAGGTGCCCCAAAAGTGGCACCAATACTTGCGACTTAAGTTGGAAAAAATGAAACCTTGTACTTATACACATTGCTTCGCAAGTGTAAGAAGCAATCGTTGGAAAGCGAAAGTCCAAGCTAGGCCCTCATATAAGTTTCCCATAACGTGAAAAGAACCAATTCGGTTTTTTTAAAAGCCTCTTAGACGAAATTCGACTGAAATTCATCAGTTCATTTAGTTATATATCTGTAACCTGAGTTAAACAATGTTTTGTAGCTGAGTTTGTTGTATTCCTTTTTATCTTACGAGAAACTTTTACAAGGGCCCAACTTAGACTCTTGGGTCTCCAATGAACTTTTTAAATCCATTGTTTTAAACTGTTTATGCTGTTTATGAGGCATTACGAGGCCACACTGTGCATTTTGTGAACTGTAAGCTAATTCCCCAGTAAGCACTCTCCCTTTGTTCTTCTTTTGTTCTTTCCGACATAATTAAAGACTTCTCTTTGGAATCTAGGAACATACAGACAAATTGTGCGCCAATTCAGTGCACAGCTTGGCCTCTTAATGGGATTTTTGGCTCTCTAATGCCCTCTAAACGGCCAAACAAAATATTTAAAATAATTTTTACTCTTTTTAATTCGACTATAGACTAAAAACCAATTTCCAACGTCATTTTCAAAGTTTCACCCCTAAGTAATTTTTAATTGCAGAGAAAACGGCAATCACCTGAAAAAAATTGTTCATTTGATCACTTGAAAACTAAAAATTATAACTTTTATGCGCCGTGACTCCAAATCCGACAAAGCTGCAATTGGTCAACCAATGAAATGTCTTCATATGAAATTAATCGAGTTTCATTCGACCATAAATGAAGATTATCATTTGACCACAAGCTGCTACGATACTTTAAAAATTTTTTTACAAAATCTAATCTTTTGTTTTGGAACATCAAGACCTATTTAAGAGTAATCACTACGTTCATTACTCTTTACTAAGACTTTAACAAGAAATCTCACTCCAGCTCGACAAACGTGATTTTGATGTTCTTTGAGTTGATTGATAACAGTATTTCAAAATCAGTTTTCGCTCACATTAAAACTAAAAAAGATAACATAAAAGACTAAGCTCGGTGATTTTTTTTGAAACAAAATTCTGACTTTCATATGATGCCTCATTCGAGTTCAATTAATGTCTTTTGGATAGGCTTGACTTCGTCGATACAAATCTTTTGGCTAACTTATCGCAAGATTTAATAACTGCGAAACATTTTAGAAGTAAAACTCTGTGAATGTTTTTTTTGGAAACCCAATGCTTATTTTAATAGGGTGTTTAAATCTACTCCGATTAGTTGCTTTTGACGGGTCGTTAATTTTTTGATACAACCTTTTGATACCTGTTTTTGATTTATTTACCTAGAAAATTGAAAAAACCACAAAAAAACTTATAACATTGAAGCTTTCTTCATTTTTTACCGGAAACACAAATATAGCCAACTTACAATTGGAAAAAAAGTAATGAACGCAAGAAAACTGAAAAAAACTGACTTGTTTTTTCAAGAGCCTTCAACTTTTGAATTTCAAAGAAAAAATATAGATGATTTTAAAGTTCCTTGAATTTCTAGAACAATTTATGATGGACATTGTCCTAGGAAACTAACCCAATTTGGGAAAACTGGATCAATACGTAAAATTTTTGTTTCGCTGGGATATCTGATTTTTATTTTCCATTTCGAAATCAGAAGTCGATCGCGTTTTTTGTCACTTTTACACTTTCTTTGTTCGATAGTGAAATTGGCCTTCCTTTCAAAAATGGAAATGCACTGAACTTAAAAAGAAATCATAAGTAAAACCGCGAAAAATCAAAACTGAGTGTGAACAAATTTTAAGACTTTCTCCTGAAAAAACGCAAAAAAATCAGCAGGATCTGCTTAAGAGTACTCACTACGTTCATTACTCTTTATTAAGACTTTAACAATAAATCTCACTCCAGCCGACAAACGTGATTTTGATGTTCTTTGAGTTGTTCAATAACAGTATTTCAAAATCAGTTTTTGGCTCACATTAAAACTAAAAAAGATAACATAAGAGACTAAGTTCTGTGATTTTTTGGAAACAAAATTCTGACTTTCACACGATGCCTCATTCGACTTAATTTATTGTCTTTTGGATGGGCTTGAATTCGTCGATACAAATCTTTTGACATGTTTATTAATTAATTTACCTAGAAACCTGAAAAAAAAACGAAAAATGTGTAAGACTGAAGTTGTGGGCAAATTTTCCTTGAAACCGCATTTAAGACTTCAAAGTCACACCTCAATCTGGCTCAAAAGACGCTTTTTGGAGTGGTTTGCGTCTTGCAATGTCAATTTTTCGTGGCTAATTTGTCTGAAAATTTTAAAAGCCCATACAAAAAAACTTAGAAGACTACAGCTTTGCAAAACTTTTTCTCGGAAACTCAGTTATAATTTTACGCTCTTCACTATTTTTTTTAAAGAAAAAGGGCAAATTACAAACAAGAATAGCCGGTTAGTAAGCAGATAGCGCAAGGGTAGCCGGTTAGTTAGCAGATAGCGCAAAATGTTTCGACCATAGTCTTAAAAAATACAACCAAAAAAGAATATTTTTCGATATGAGTGTTGTTTTTTTGCGTGTTGTGACGAAAGGATCTGAACAAAAAAACTTTAAAAAATGTTCGAGAATCATAGTAAAATAGGCAATTTAAAAAACATATGAAGTAAAAAATAAATGACCAGAAAACAAACTAAAAAATAGCAGTTTCAAAAGGGCGCAGAAATACTAAAACAACTAAGTTTTATCCGAGTAAAACTAAGTTTTTGATGCTTAAATTAAGCTATTGTAAGCTTTTAAGCTATTAAAATAAGCTATTGTCGCTTTACTCGCTCGAAATTAGACAAAAAATTACAAATTTCACACCCGTTTTACCAAACGCTGGGAAAACTTTTGATTTTTTTTATTCCGTTTAAATTACGTAAGTCACGGCTTTAATATGATATATCATTCAACGGCTCCTCAGAATTTTTTAAATGTTGAAAAGTTGTTCATACTGTAGTATTCATTGTTCACGCTGGCACGTTTTGTTGCAGCTAAGATTATAAAAAGTCATTATAAATAAGTTTTCGTAAAATAAATTTCAAAAAAAAAATTCGAAGGGGGAACTGGAGAACAGCCCATTCAACTCACTCCGATGATTATTTGTGGTAGCTGATTTTGCAAGGAAAACAAAAAAAAAGAAAAAAACACCCGAACACAAAGTTACTTCCCGTTTTTCAAACGGTCATCCATTATATACTGACAAGGTTAAATAATAGAAATTATGAAAACAGAGGCCCCTGAAAAAAAACCTTCAGATCTAATAACGTAAACTAACCTTAATCATGTTAAAACTAGCTCTTGGTGAGGAGGATTATTCTCATGCGTGAAGGACCGAATGCGCGAAATTTCTCAACCAAACAAAGCCCTTTAAACTGTTCAAAATTGTTTAAATTGTTGCTCATTTCTTTCAAATTATTCAATTCTGAGCACTTATTGGTTGAAAAATTTTTCGCGCATCTGGTCCTTTGGGCGAGGAATCTCCCTTGGTGAACATCAAGAAAAAATTGAGCTTTGTTGTAACTTCAATGAACTCTAGTGTAAACACACGGAAAATTGAGGCGCGCGGTGAGCTTTCAAAATGTTTTTTTTTGGATAAATTACATATTCAAATGATAAAAACGTTTTTATTTAAAATTTCACCAGCCTTGACATAACCAGAGATTAACTAAACAATTGGGTAATTGAAACTCATAAATTTTCTCCTTTAAAACTCATAAATGAAGTGGTTAGGTTTCCGCCTCTCAGACGAATGGTAGGATGTTCAAGCCCACCATTATGCGTGCTCGCTGCTTGAGGGTCAGGCAACATACCCGCTTGGAAAAATAGCCGAAAAACTGTGCATGTTTTTCTGGGGGCGCAAAGGCGGTTCTCCGTGAAGAGCTGAACACCTCACATCTTGGTCCTTTACCTTAAAGGAAAAATTATCTTAACTCATGGAACCCCCTCAAGAACTGTTTTTGAAAATCCGTCCCTCCCCCTTTGAGAAAAATCTAGATTTGCCCCTTCACGCCAAAATGAAAGTTGACTTTTTTCCAGATATGTTTCGCGACGTGCGCCCTCGCCTTCTACCAGTGTTTCTCAATCAAACCTTTCTTGACTCTCAAAAGATCGAACAGCGGATCTCAAACTGCAGTCGTAAACAACAACAGGTTGAAATACTTGTTATGTCTGATCACGTGGGTCCTTTCTACAGGCGCCAGTGTGACGTCACAGCTATTCAACGCAGATTGTTCCGACGTGTTTGCAAGATATTCGAATTTTATCATTTCGTGGTCTGTCTTCATCGGCATGTTCGTGCTATGCTCCTTTATCACTCTGGGGTTTCTGGTCATGACTTATTCACGCATCAGCAGAGCCAGAAGTTTGCTGCCACAGAGAATGAAAATGGTCGACACTGTAAGTCAAACTCCTGGAAATTTTTAGAAAAAAAAATAAACTAATTTTGGCTAGCAAGCTTATGATATTAGCAGCAGATTGAAACTTGGAAATTGTACATTGAGCTAATTCCGTTATGACAAACAGGTCAAGGCGACTTGTACTTTGGACCGGTTCTCCAAATCAGTGATGACCTCCCTAATCATCTTCGTCCAGTCCTTCTTCTGTTCCACCCCTCTGGCCGTGTACAGAGTATTCGCTGGCAGACACATCATAGAGAACAGATACTTCTACTCTCTCTGTCTTGTACAGCTGTTCTTCATGCAGGTCAAAGCACCCAAGTTTCTCATCATACCATATCAAATCCCCTCGCCAATGTATAAAAACTACTGAAAACTATTTTAAAATTCTATTTAAAAGTTTCGGATATATTCTATAGCTCTTTTCGCTTCACTTTTTAAGACCCTCATATGGTCACGGGAACTTTTAGTTTTCACGCGATGAATTGAACAAATTTTTTCCTAGTTTCTGCCGTTTTCTAAACAAATTTTGGAGGTTTACGGATGAAAGTTTGACAGATGATGGATGATACTAATTTTTAGAATATAGCCGGATAAAAAAAACACAGCGAAAGTTTGTTTTCTAGACATTTTTCGGCAATTTAATTAAGAGTAGTCAGATAAATGTTTTAGAGCCAGAAATAAGAAGTAAAATCAATTTGAAGCTTCGAATTTACACAGAGGCGAAGCTGCGCTTTGCAAACACTTGCAAGAATACGACTAAAAAGTAGCTCTATCAAGTGAAATAAGAAAAAGTATAAATAAGCCTCGATTTAGCAAAAACTCGGCTACGTGTAGGGTTCGAATCTGCGACCTACAGCAATCAACAGATTTTGAGTCTCACGCACTATCCATTGAATCACGCAAGCTTAACAATCGACAAACACTAGTCACAAATCAAGCAGCTACATATGCTAATTACTTTGAGTGTACCAAATTGCAAAGCATAAAGCCACATTATGTATAAATTATGGATTTCAAAAAATTGCGAGATAAATTGAGTTAGAAAATGCATCAGCTGTGTTAACTGATTGCTATTCGAATATCAAAGCACATGCTATGAATAAGCTGTAAAGGTGCCCCAAAAGTGGCACCAATACTTGCGACTTAAGTTGGAAAAAATGAAACCTTGTACTTATACACATTGCTTCGCAAGTGTAAGAAGCAATCGTTGGAAAGCGAAAGTCCAAGCTAGGCCCTCATATAAGTTTCCCATAACGTGAAAAGAACCAATTCGGTTTTTTTAAAAGCCTCTTAGACGAAATTCGACTGAAATTCATCAGTTCATTTAGTTATATATCTGTAACCTGAGTTAAACAATGTTTTGTAGCTGAGTTTGTTGTATTCCTTTTTATCTTACGAGAAACTTTTACAAGGGCCCAACTTAGACTCTTGGGTCTCCAATGAACTTTTTAAATCCATTGTTCTAAACTGTTTATGCTGTTTATGAGGCATTACGAGGCCACACTGTGCATTTTGTGAACTGTAAGCTAATTCCCCAGTAAGCACTCTCCCTTTGTTCTTCTTTTGTTCTTTCCGACATAATTAAAGACTTCTCTTTGGAATCTAGGAACATACAGACAAATTGTGCGCCAATTCAGTGCACAGCTTGGCCTCTTAATGGGATTTTTGGCTCTCCAATGCCCTCTAAACGGCCAAACAAAATATTTAAAATAATTTTTAGTCTTTTTAATTCGACTATAGACTAAAAACCAATTTCCAACGTCATTTTCAAAGTTTCACCCGTAAGTAATTTTTAATTGCAGAGAAAACGGCAAACACCTGAAAAAAATTGTTCATTTGATCACTTGAAAACTAAAAATTATAACTTTTATGCGCCGTGACTCCAAATCCGACAAAGCTGCAATTGGTCAACCATTGAAATGTCTTCATATGAAATTAATCGAGTTTCATTCGACCATAAATGAAGATTATCATTTGACCACAAGCTGCTACGATACTTTAAAATTTTTTTTACAAAATCTAATCTTTTGTTTTGGAACATCAAGACCTATTTAAGAGTAATCACTACGTTCATTACTCTTTACTAAGACTTTAACAAGAAATCTCACTCCAGCTCGACAAACGTGATTTTGATGTTCTTTGAGTTGATTGATAACAGTATTTCAAAATCAGTTTTCGCTCACATTAAAACTAAAAAAGATAACATAAAAGACTAAGCTCGGTGATTTTTTTTGAAACAAAATTCTGACTTTCATATGATGCCTCATTCGAGTTCAATTAATGTCTTTTGGATAGGCTTGACTTCGTCGATACAAATCTTTTGGCTAACTTATCGCAAGATTTAATAACTGCGAAACATTTTAGAAGTAAAACTCTGTGAATGTTTTTTTTGGAAACCCAATGCTTATTTTAATAGGGTGTTTAAATCTACTCCGATTAGTTGCTTTTGACGGGTCGTTAATTTTTTGATACAACCTTTTGATACCTGTTTTTGATTTATTTACCTAGAAAATTGAAAAAACCACAAAAAAACTTATAACATTGAAGCTTTCTTCATTTTTTACCGGAAACACAAATATAGCCAACTTACAATTGGAAAAAAAGTAATGAACGCAAGAAAACTGAAAAAAACTGACTTGTTTTTTCAAGAGCCTTCAACTTTTGAATTTCAAAGAAAAAATATAGATGATTTTAAAGTTCCTTGAATTTCTAGAACAATTTATGATGGACATTGTCCTAGGAAACTAACCCAATTTGGGAAAACTGGATCAATACGTAAAATTTTTGTTTCGCTGGGATATCTGATTTTTATTTTCCATTTCGAAATCAGAAGTCGATCGCGTTTTTTGTCACTTTTACACTTTCTTTGTTCGATAGTGAAATTGGCCTTCCTTTCAAAAATGGAAATGCACTGAACTTAAAAAGAAATCATAAGTAAAACCGCGAAAAATCAAAACTGAGTGTGAACAAATTTTAAGACTTTCTCCTGAAAAAACGCAAAAAAATCAGCAGGATCTGCTTAAGAGTACTCACTACGTTCATTACTCTTTATTAAGACTTTAACAATAAATCTCACTCCAGCCGACAAACGTGATTTTGATGTTCTTTGAGTTGTTCAATAACAGTATTTCAAAATCAGTTTTTGGCTCACATTAAAACTAAAAAAGATAACATAAGAGACTAAGTTCTGTGATTTTTTGGAAACAAAATTCTGACTTTCACACGATGCCTCATTCGACTTAATTTATTGTCTTTTGGATGGGCTTGAATTCGTCGATACAAATCTTTTGACATGTTTATTAATTAATTTACCTAGAAACCTGAAAAAAAAACGAAAAATGTGTAAGACTGAAGTTGTGGGCAAATTTTCCTTGAAACCGCATTTAAGACTTCAAAGTCACACCTCAATCTGGCTCAAAAGACGCTTTTTGGAGTGGTTTGCGTCTTGCAATGTCAATTTTTCGTGGCTAACTTGTCTGAAAATTTTAAAAGCCCATACAAAAAAACTTAGAAGACTACAGCTTTGCAAAACTTTTTCTCGGAAACTCAGTTATAATTTTACTATGATGTCTCACTCCAACCTGACTAACGTCTGTTTGAGGTGCGATGGTTTCTTTGATACCAATCTCAAGACATCTGTTTTTGTTTATATTACTTTAAAATTTGAAAAACCTACCCAAAATTCGAAAGAGTAAAGCATTGCAAAACTTTATCTCGGAAACCCAATTGGCACCTCACTCGATAACAATTGACGTTTTTTTGGTATGACAAGAGCTTTTCGATGACACGATTTTTGAAATCAGTTTTTGGCGATTTTACCCTGAACCTTGTTTTGACTAAAAAATGTAGTTTTGGCAAACATTTATTGCAACTTTGATATAAAATTTATTTAGTGTTTGTGGATTCTGTTTATCCACAAAGGAAAAGAAACAGTTATTGAATCGTTCAGTTTTTTCAGGAAAACCGCGGTTTGCCCGTGTCTAAAATGTGCAGTCAATTAGATTTGATAATTTTCCTTCTCAAACCTAAATATAATTCCCTAACTCCTTAAATAGAATTCCCTAACTCTTAGAAATTGTTACAGGCTGCCATTTTCCCAGTATTGGTTGCATACAGAAGTCGTGCATTCCGAATGGGCTTCCGACAGCTATTCTGTGCGGTGGTCAGCACCCCTCTCAATAACGACGCCATTCTAGAGGAACTCTGTAAGCTAAGACAAATTTGTAAAAATCCCCACCAGGCATACATAATTAGAATCTCTTTAAGGGGGATTAATGTACAATACTCACATATGCTTAACTTTTGAATTAGTTTTTATAAGGGGAGCGTGTTACCAGAAACCATAGAGTGGATAATTAAAGAGATCCCAGAACTAGTTATAGATAAGGCCAAATTGTGGTAAAATCCGTCATCTTACCTTCTTATTTTGTCATAAATTCCTGCATCTTAAATGTATTGAGTTTTTTGATGCTCTCAGAACATCAAAGAATTCAAAGTTTTCAATGCATCTCATCTTATTCTTGCAAAAAAACATGCGTCTGATCTTGCGCCGTTTCTGACAAAGTTGTCTGTATAAAAGAGTCGACCTTTTTTATGTACTTATTATGTATTGACCCCGAAGGCGCATTTATAAAAAAAACGGCGCAGCTCACAAATTGATGTAAGCAGTACCAAATAGCCTCTCTGAAAAATCTTAAATTTTGCAAGTTTATTTTTGAAAAAAAAACTCGTAACATGCTTTGTACGTTTCGGGCAAAAAAATCACGACAGCGGTTAGAAAAAAGTATGAATCACAATTTAACACTTTTTCGAGGTCCTTTAGCTTTCGCACCCAACCTATTCTAACCAGTCATGAAAAAATAGCGTCAAAACTCAAAACTATTAATGATTATAAAATTAAAATTTCGGACTAGCGTCATTACAACAACTCATACCAATTGATTTCGATTCTGAACGCTGCTTAATGCAAATGTTGTTGTCTCGACAGTTAATATACTGCTATAGACTAATGGACTTTAAAATTAGGTAATCACATGCTGTCCTTAACCAGTTTCTAGCAATAACAACGATTTGGTTTTGCTTTTAAATGTCTAGCAGTCTCTGAAAAAAAACTCAATTCGGTTAACAAACAATGGTAAATAATACTGATGAAAATGAGATCAATTTTTGTTCTGCTATTTTTTTCAGTTTTCTTAATTAAGAAAAAATGGCGTCATTATAGCTTTTAATTTATCAATTGCTCTACAGATTTGAATACGCTTACGTCTATACTCCCAGTTTTCTTCTATCTATATAACGAAATCCCAGTGTTCTTTTTACAAATAAAGCGATGGCTCTATTTTTCAAGTTGTATTGGAGTGATTTCAATTTTAGACGATTCTTCGCCGCGACTTATACCCTACAGCAAAGGAGGAATGATGGGAGACGCCGCCGTTAAAAACGTCTCCAACCCCCCTCGAAAGGAGACAGATTCGCGTCCGGGAGAGGAATCAACAACAACAACACCGCAGCAGCAGCAAAATGGGCATTGTTTATCATTCGATCGAGGGGACGTAGGCGGGCTAGAGACGGGGCAAATTGGCGGTGGTGGTGGTAGAAAGACTCCCTTGCATCCGCCACCGCACAAAAACAGCAACAGCACTGTCGGACTGCGGGGTAAGAAGTGACTTTAGTTGCGTGGGTCAAATTGAATTACATCTGCTCGCTTCCGCAAAACTAGAAGTCACTCTTTCGCTCGCTTAATTGAATTGCATTCTCATCCTCCAAATCAAAAAGCACAGGCCAAATGACCACCGCTGGCCATTTCACTGCCCTCAGCCTTTCTTTCATCCCTTTTGATGCTTTTCGAGAATTGAAAACCTCATTTCTTAGCAATTTTCAAACGCCGAATATTTTCCATTATTCCCATTTTCTAATACCATTCAATATCAATTTAGTCTTTCAAATTTGCGAGGTAGAAAAATGATTGGAAGTGATGGCCGTCCGAGCAAATAATGGATTCTCTTTTTTGTTTGCTCAACAAACTTCAAGTCTTCTGCACCAAATAAAAGGTGCAAAAATCAGAACAGAAGGGAAAACAAATTAAATTTCGATAAAGCCAAAACGCAAAATAAATATACAAAATTTAAAGCCTTAAAATTTCTCTACTTTCATTGAATAAAAATTATAGCAATTTAAAGTCAATGAAAAAAATGCCATGAAAGATTCACCGAAATCATGAAGCCTGAATAACTTGACGTCTGCGACCGCTTCCGATGAAAGCGGCTATCAATAAATACCGCCTTCTTAGTTTGGACATAAGATGATACAATTATAGCCAAGAACAATAACTATATAAAATTTTACCCTGCATTTCTTGGTTGCCAGCCAAAAAATTGTTTCATAAAAAAGTCTTAATAACAATAATTTTTTTTGAATCTAACTTTTTATTTGTTTACTTTTCAATCTTGTGCATCTAGATAAGGAAACTAGGACAAGCAGGTGGGGGTTTTGAGGGATTTGTGAATTAGCCCAACCCCCTCTCAGAAACTAAAAAGTCCCCAATTAGCTACTACTTTACGGCATCCATCAAGGCGAAATTGAGGCGTGAGCACGCACCAAAAAAAACAATAAAAAACGAATAACGAAATAGTGCAATTTCCCAATCACTTTAAAAAGGGTCTATAGACTCATATTAAAGTTTTAAAAACATAGCCAACTGACAGTTGGAATAGAGTAATGAACGCAAGTAAACATATAAAACACAATTTGTTGAAAAAGACTCGAAATTCGAATTTCAAAGAAAGCGCTTTTTTGATAACATTAACCCAACTTGAGAAAACTGGATCAATAAGTAAAGTCTTTATTCCGCTCGGAATCTTAAAAATAAATTCCACTTTCGAAACAAGAAATCTTTCATGTTTTTTTGCGCCATTTCCACGTTCGTATTTAGAGAGTGCTACTTACGTCAATTTCAGCAGATGAATTTCAAATGAAATCAAAAAGTGCACATATACCTTGGTGCATTCAAAAATGCATTAAAATGTATGAATGCACATCTGTAGTTTAAGACTTTCCTGAAAAAAAAACAGGACAAAAAATCACCACGACTTATCTTTACGTTCATTACACTTAAAAAACCAATTTGATGCCTAACAAAAAAGCATGAAAATAACACAAAATGAGGAAAAACTTTGTCCGTGAATTCATTTAAGTGTCTGAAAAAATATTCGAACGCTGAAGACGAGCTTTATCTTTGCAAAAACAATGATGGTGCTATCGAGCTGACGGATCGGTGGCTCAAGCACTCACCGGCAAAAACAAAGCAAAACTCTCAATGTTTTCAAGTTATTAAACAACCGAGAGTAGCAGCCTAGATGTCATCACTCCAACCACTATCTTTTTTTTGCTGTTTCTGAGAACTTGCGATACATTACAGCGCTTCAACAAAATCATACTTACAAAAACACTTGAAAAAACTCCGGAGAAATAATTTCGACCAAAATTTTTTTAAACACGTCGAAAAAATTAAATGTCAATTTTAAATTGACTATCTAAAACGTACTCAAACATATGATAGAAGCTTTTAAGTAACCTTTGTTCCTCTAACGTCGACAAGGAAGACAAACTTCATACACAAAACACTCAAACTCAAATCATAAGCGATTTCTAACTAGGTTGAAACTGACTTCACAACTAAAGCACTCACCGAAAACCCCCTACTAACCTCAACAACTGAACTCCCCAGTCTCGTTCCAGCCTATCTCAACTACGCACCGGCGACTCGCCCTACTTTATCCCTACCTCAGCAGACGTGACCAATTGCCACCAACGAATATCCAAATTGCTTTACCACCGGTCATGATACCAATCGCCTCTTTCAATGTCCAGAAAACCATACTACAGTCACTACTCTTTCACTTTGGTCCAAACCTATCTAAAATTTGGTGTTCCACAGGTTGTTGACTCAACCTTGAATGCACCAGTCGAGCTCGCTCTTGATGACCAGTACTGACTCAAAACTGACTCATAGTTTCGGCTATTACACCAAAAATGTTCCTGTCTTATGTTCCGCAGATACGGTTTAGGCGAAATTAGACGCCACAACCAGAGTTTTGCTGCCTTTTATCTGTTTGGCGGCTTGGCGATTCACCAAAACCTGTACGGCAACCAGAATCACTAGCCGTCTCAGTTACTGGAATAGTGGGCCCTTACCACCCGGAAAGCACCCCAGCGAGGGCCGCAGTGTTAGACTTGGACGACACGACGAAAATAACAACCCTCCATTGGAAGTCATGAACACAACCAAAACAAAGAAATCAAATTTCTCTGAAGTACTGAAGAACTAACGAGTAAACCATTCCAGACGAAAACGAAGACCATTTATAACGAAATCTGACCAAAGAGACGAAACTTTATGCGCTGCTTCTCGACTAGGCAACTTCAACAACACTAATGGCAGAGCAAACAAATTATACAAACCATTAAAAATCAGATTTTTTTAAAAACCACTAGTAAGTGGTGTTTACCGTGCTAAAGAGTTGAGTTAACTCTTTGATATCGAGTCGCTCGCCCACAAGACGTGGTAGTTTGATAATTTGATTGTAAAACCATTGCCACTAAATTACTATTTGCAGAACTTAAATTTTTCTATCAAGTGGCCAGTTGCACTTCGTAGATAAACCTAAATTATTCCGCTACTTCAAGCCTCTACGGAGCAAAAAAGTTTTCGAGTAAAAAAATTATTAAAATGTTCAATTAATTTTTTCCTTATTTGTTTCTTCATATATCCCCGAACGCTGTTTAGTATAAAATGATGTTTCCTGTCTAGTAAGCACTATTGCGATCAAACAGCTTGCTTCAATTCAGTTTGGAAAAGTTTCTAAGCCGGATTACTGGATCATGTTAACTATTTCCCCCTTATTGCAAAAGGGGGGATAGTTAACATGATCCAGTAATCCGGCTTAGAAACTTTAGGGGGGGGGGCGTAGGGGAATAGTTAATAAGGTTTGCATGAAATTTATTGTAATAACGTCAACCAATAGGAATGAAACTGAAATAACGTCAACCAATAGGAATGCGACAGAACACATTTCTGAGAAATACAAAACCAATCCAGTTGAACATAATCAAATGTGTTTTTATCGGGGGGGGGGGGGTACCATAGGGGGGAAATAGTTAACATGATCCGGATTAATACCCCCTTATCTTCACTTTAAAAAAACATGAATACCGCGCTTGAGTTATCAGGGTTATCACGGGTTAAATATCTCTTTTTAAGCTTTGAGCTCACGAAATCAATATCTTTCAGATAATAGAAAATTACAATATCCTGAATTAATATCCTCAGCATCGATTGTACTTTAGCGCTGATTAAATAAACTGCGATTAAAGAGCACGAAAATTTGCAACTTAGGGTGACAAAAGAGAGCTCCTTTGATAAAACTGGCGTTTGCTTCTGCAATATTTAAATCTGGGGGTTGAGAAATTAGACGATAAGCAAATTAGAAGGAGGTATTTAAAAGGAAATTAGACGATTTCGCAAAACTGCAATTGTGAGAAATTAGACGAATGCGATAGAGATTAAAATTGTTTGCAGAAAAATTGCTGAGAAAAATAAAATTGTTAGCAGACAACACTTAAATTTCGTGGCCAAAAATTGTACAAGTCAACCATGCATAATTTATTCAATTCAAAACTCTCCTGTAATATTCGGATTTGACATTTTGCGTTCATTCAAACCAGGGGCGGACGCCCCCCCCCCCCCCCCTCAGGGATTCGACTTTTGGTACTTTTTAAGAAATCAATTTTTGGTGACGGACTCTAAAATTTTTCTAAGGCGCCTTGGCGCAAATATATACTAAGTTTGAGGGGAAGCGCGCGCCAAAAAAACGCGATTTTTTTTTGTCAAAATTTTCCAAAAAGTGCCCAAAAACGGCTTTATGACCTGTTTTTTCAAAAACTTGCCTGCGGCGCAGAAAATTTGGCCAAAACAGCGTCTTTTCAGTGCTTTAGTAGAGCTCCGAAAATCTATTTGGTCGATCTAAAATCCCCCACCCTCCTTAAGAAAATCCTAGATCCGCCCCTGGTTCAAACTAATTATTTTGACATTTTTCTTTGACATATGTTTTTTGTATTTGTGAAACTTGACTCTTAAGAAAAAATTTTGTTGGCCCTTTCCTTTGCAATAGGAAAGGGCCAACTATTGCAAACGAAAGAGTCTAATTTCGTTTTTGTAGATCCGTCTTATTTGCTTATCGTCTAATTTACTAGGCCCCATAAACCTTCATTTTGCACAAGGAATGTACGCAAATTATCTGCAGCGAAATATGATAATTACTTGCAGTTTCAGTTAGTTGCGAGCTTAATTCAGTTTGACTTATCAGGTTGTTTGTTCTGCTCTTGGACCATTCTACAAATGACGATACACCGAGAGTAAATAAACCAGCCGAAGTATACACCAACCGAAATTACGCGGAGTACATAAGCCAGCCGAAAAGTTACATTTGAATGAAATTTGCATAACTTTCGTAACTTTTACAAAACCATTATAAAACACTTACGTATTTTCGGCCGGCTGATACTTCGGCTGGTTTATATACCACCTAAAAGCTGGAAAAATGGTAGTCAGTGATTGCTATTTGATTGATGGAAATTGCGTAATTACATGTAGTTACAATCTCGAGAAAAGAGCCAGCTCCTTCGTTCCACAATTTGGTGTACAGCCTTTTTGTTTATTTCAGATACACAGATCAAAAGAAACCCCGAAATGGATCACTTCAAATCAAACATCAACCTCCGACGAACCGACATCCTCAGCGACGACGACGAGGAAGACGAAGGAGTCGGCTCAGGAATCGGCACGAGTTACTCAGACGAGAAAGTATTCGTTGAAATAACCGAAAACGAAGTCAAAATCCATCATCACACTCGGCGACTTAGCGGGGACCGCCTGGCGGGTGATAACGTCAGTAGCGCCACGTCCATAACTCGCAATTCAGTCAACAATTGTAGTCCAGACAGCGGAGCGAGTGGGAGAGCTACCAGTCCTCATGATTACACCGCAGGAGCTCATAATTCTAGCATGAAAGATGATAGCAGCATATCTAGAACCCTTTCGGACATTCATTCAAAAGAAACTTATATTTGACGCTACAACTTCACTTTTATACTCGATGTAATTGTAGTACATGAATACAAACGTCAATTTTACGTATGCATTTATTTATTCAAAATTTTCAAATTAAAGTGTTTGAAATTTTCATCAGCACGCCTTTCAAATAAAATAATCTGCTCAAACGATCTTAAAAATCTTAGTGAAAACCAGATTAAAGTTAAATTTAATTTGACCGGTATAATTAGACAAACTAGAGTTCATAGTCAATATACAATCTATCTTTCTCGTACAGATCACAGAGAACATCATAGGCCATGTAGTTTTCAGTCATCCGTCTTCAGTTTTTATCGCTCTGTTTACATTTACATTGACTTCCTTCTGTCTGTTAGTGTGAAGGTACTAAACAGGGCTGGCAAAACTTTTTAGAAGTTCAAAAATCATTATTTTTAGAACTTGGGTAACCTGTTTTCAGTTTTTATGAAAAAAATACGTGAAAAAAAAAATACTCATTGGATAACTGGACAAATATAATTCGATAAAACTTCAGTTCCTTTTGATGGAATAGATACATTTTTTTTGAAGACTCAAACCAAAAGTAGAAATCTGTTCATTTGTGCAATTGGTACGAAACTCTTGGAGAAAAAAAATGTGCAGAAACATTTCGCTATCAAAAAACACTGCTTCGAGTGACACCTATTGATGAGTTATGACACATATTGCTTTATGACTCTTATTGCTTTTTGTGCCAACCCTGGTAGTAATGGGTGGGGTTCCTGTTAGTGTATTTTCTTCTAGTGATGTGCGTCTTTGCTGCCCCTCATCATCGTGTGTTTTGATCTCTTCTCTAGTTCCACATCCACTTTGCCCAGCAGAGGGAATTCACCCAGATGTCCATGCTCTCTCCAGTATGACTCACGCGCAAAGAGAATTTCTGAAATACAAACAAGTCTTTATTTTTGAGCATCGAGGCAAAGATGAAATGTTAAGTGCCTCCAACCCGTCTTCTAATCAAAAGGTTGGTGCTTAGAGACCCCCGAAATCTGATCCGTACTCCATTACGATAAAACATTTATCAGCACCAGATAAAAAAAAAAACAGATTATCCGTTCTCCTAACTTAGAGGTTCAGAACGCTGAACAGAAATCAAACTTACCCACAAGATTTCTCTTAGTTTTTGATTTTTCGAGAGTAAAAAGTAAAAATAATTTGTTTTCTTAATTTAAGATACAAAGTGTTCAACATTATTATCAAACTAAATTATCAGACTATCAATTAAATTGACGGCTGACGCTTTAAATTCAGAGGACTTAAATTCAAATGAGACACTTACTGTTGTGATGGTAGCCATAGATTAGTCCCCCGATGAGTGCTGACCACCTAGCCACCTGAAGCACGAATCACTTCATATTACTAATTGGTTTAAAAAGTCTAGACAGTTAATTAGATTAGTGCATTTCATTAGCTAACAGACAAATCGATTAACAAAAATAGTGGCTTCAGCAGTCACAACTGCAGAGGATAACACAAAGCAAACACGATCCCAATTAGATCACAAAAATTCCACTGCCAGTAAATGAAAATCTAAAAGTTTCGTGGAAAACAAATCTTCAAATTTTTCAGATTTCTTTAGATAAAAACAATAACCATTTTAGAACAGTTACTTTCTAAAGAATAAGGAAATACATTAAAACTTATGCAAACTATTAGAGCAAAACAACCAACTGCCAACCGTTCTTCGCACCAAGCGATACAATAGATGTGCCAGAAAAAGTTCGTACAGTAAAGGTAGAGGACGCTGAATAATTTCTTAAGGCGTGTTTGGCCTCTCTATATATAAATATTCTATTTGGAGAGGGGATCGCTGGCCGAAAAATATTGCTCCACTAAAAAGTGCCCAACGTTTTTGACCGTCTTTTTCCAAAACTACCATTCTTCAAATTAGTCAACTTAAAAATCAAATGGTGGACTTAAACCAAATTGGCTGAGCTGTAGAGAGCTAGAAATAGGTCGAGATGATTCTTTTTTGGAAACCACCATCCCCCCCCCCATTCCATGATAATATCCTATATCCGGGCCTGCTTCCATTTTCCGACAAATTTCCTTCTAAATAAACATGCCAAGTTAGACAATTTAATTTTATTTTGGCTTCGAAAGACATCCTTCAAGACATAGCAAACCCGACAATCCAGCAGACACGTGTTGAGCCGAACAAAAAATTTAATAGTCTCCCCTAAAGCACTTAGCTAACAACCTTCTTTTGCTCCGTCAAACGACTCGAAATGAAGCCGTTAAGCCGAAAATAAATCAGTCGTAAAAAGAGAAAAAAACTGATTTACTGAAATCGGAGTTAGTAAAGTTACAACCAACATGAAAAAAAAATTTCGAATAGAAAAAAATGGATCACTTCAAATCAAACATCAACCTCCGACGAACCGACATCCTCAGCGACGACGACGAGGAAGACGAAGGAGTCGGCTCAGGAATCGGCACGAGTTACTCAGACGAGAAAGTATTCGTTGAAATAACCGAAAACGAAGTCAAAATCCATCATCACACTCGGCGACTTAGCGGGGACCGCCTGGCGGGTGATAACGTCAGTAGCGCCACGTCCATAACTCGCAATTCAGTCAACAATTGTAGTCCAGACAGCGGAGCGAGTGGGAGAGCTACCAGTCCTCATGATTACACCGCAGGAGCTCATAATTCTAGCATGAAAGATGATAGCAGCATATCTAGAACCCTTTCGGACATTCATTCAAAAGAAACTTATATTTGACGCTACAACTTCACTTTTATACTCGATGTAATTGTAGTACATGAATACAAACGTCAATTTTACGTATGCATTTATTTATTCAAAATTTTCAAATTAAAGTGTTTGAAATTTTCATCAGCACGCCTTTCAAATAAAATAATCTGCTCAAACGATCTTAAAAATCTTAGTGAAAACCAGATTAAAGTTAAATTTAATTTGACCGGTATAATTAGACAAACTAGAGTTGATAGTCAATATACAATCTATCTTTCTCGTACAGATCACAGAGAACATCATAGGCCATGTAGTTTTCAGTCATCCGTCTTCAGTTTTTATCGCTCTGTTTACATTTACATTGACTTCCTTCTGTCTGTTAGTGTGAAGGTACTAAACAGGGCTGGCAAAACTTTTTAGAAGTTCAAAAATCATTATTTTTAGAACTTGGGTAACCTGTTTTCAGTTTTTATGAAAAAAATACGTGAAAAAAAAAAATACTCATTGGATAACTGGACAAATATAATTCGATAAAACTTCAGTTCCTTTTGATGGAATAGATACATTTTTTTGAAGACTCAAACCAAAAGTAGAAATCTGTTCATTTGTGCAATTGGTACGAAACTCTTGGAGAAAAAAAATGTGCAGAAACATTTCGCTATCAAAAAACACTGCTTCGAGTGACACCTATTGATGAGTTATGACACATATTGCTTTATGACTCTTATTGCTTTTTGTGCCAACCCTGGTAGTAATGGGTGGGGTTCCTGTTAGTGTATTTTCTTCTAGTGATGTGCGTCTTTGCTGCCCCTCATCATCGTGTGTTTTGATCTCTTCTCTAGTTCCACATCCACTTTGCCCAGCAGAGGGAATTCACCCAGATGTCCATGCTCTCTCCAGTATGACTCACGCGCAAAGAGAATTTCTGAAATACAAACAAGTCTTTATTTTTGAGCATCGAGGCAAAGATGAAATGTTAAGTGCCTCCAACCCGTCTTCTAATCAAAAGGTTGGTGCTTAGAGACCCCCGAAATCTGATCCGTACTCCATTACGATAAAACATTTATCAGCACCAGATAAAAAAAAAACAGATTATCCATTCTCCTAACTTAGAGGTTCAGAACGCTGAACAGAAATCAAACTTACCCACAAGATTTCTCTTAGTTTTTGATTTTTCGAGAGTAAAAAGTAAAAATAATTTGTTTTCTTAATTTAAGATACAAAGTGTTCAACATTATTATCAAACTAAATTATCAGACTATCAATTAAATTGACGGCTGACGCTTTAAATTCAGAGGACTTAAATTCAAATGAGACACTTACTGTTGTGATGGTAGCCATAGATTAGTCCCCCGATGAGTGCTGACCACCTAGCCACCTGAAGCACGAATCACTTCATATTACTAATTGGTTTAAAAAGTCTAGACAGTTAATTAGATTAGTGCATTTCATTAGCTAACAGACAAATCGATTAACAAAAATAGTGGCTTCAGCAGTCACAACTGCAGAGGATAACACAAAGCAAACACGATCCCAATTAGATCACAAAAATTCCACTGCCAGTAAATGAAAATCTAAAAGTTTCGTGGAAAACAAATCTTCAAATTTTTCAGATTTCTTTAGATAAAAACAATAACCATTTTAGAACAGTTACTTTCTAAAGAATAAGGAAATACATTAAAACTTATGCAAACTATTAGAGCAAAACAACCAACTGCCAACCGTTCTTCGCACCAAGCGATACAATAGATGTGCCAGAAAAAGTTCGTACAGTAAAGGTAGAGGACGCTGAATAATTTCTTAAGGCGTGTTTGGCCTCTCTATATATAAATATTCTATTTGGAGAGGGGATCGCTGGCCGAAAAATATTGCTCCACTAAAAAGTGCCCAACGTTTTTGACCGTCTTTTTCCAAAACTACCATTCTTCAAATTAGTCAACTTAAAAATCAAATGGTGGACTTAAACCAAATTGGCTGAGCTGTAGAGAGCTAGAAATAGGTCGAGATGATTCTTTTTTGGAAACCACCATCCCCCCCCCCCCCCCCATTCCATGATAATATCCTATATCCGGGCCTGCTTCCATTTTCCGACAAATTTCCTTCTAAATAAACATGCCAAGTTAGACAATTTAATTTTATTTTGGCTTCGAAAGACATCCTTCAAGACATAGCAAACCCGACAATCCAGCAGACACGTGTTGAGCCGAACAAAAAATTTAATAGTCTCCCCTAAAGCACTTAGCTAACAACCTTCTTTTGCTCCGTCAAACGACTCGAAATGAAGCCGTTAAGCCGAAAATAAATCAGTCGTAAAAAGAGAAAAAAACTGATTTACTGAAATCGGAGTTAGTAAAGTTACAACCAACATGAAAAAAAAATTTCGAATAGAAAAAATATGAAAAATGCAGACATGCTCTAGATTTCTCAGTTGGTTGACGAAATTACACAATTGGAGATGACCACCAAATTGAGCCATCCTGTGAACAAAATTATTTACGGGAAAGAGTCGGTTGCAAAACCCTGTTGTCCCGGTGGCAACACCTTTGCTAATCGCTAGGGTAAAAACAAAAAATAATCACGAGCAAGATGAATCGACCAAATAAAAAAAATCGTCAAAAAGTTTGGCACTAAAAACACTTGGAACGGAATATTAAAATGGACCTGTGAAATAGTAAAAGATACTTTAATTTTCATAAGTCCCTATTGTTGAAACTAACAACAGTAGTAACACGATATTTCTAACACAGAGGCGAAGCGGAGCTTCACATCACTTGCGATAGATCACAAAAAAAAATAAAAAAAACAATAACCAAAATTTTTGTGTGATAAAAGATAACTAGGGGCCTAGCTAAAGCTGGATTTTTTGATAACTTTGTTATACTGATGCGTGAGGAAATGGGCCATTTCGAAAATTGACTTTACCCAAATCCATAGCTGTTTCTCTACTAAAAACAAGAAGGGCGAAAATTTATGAGAATGCACATCTGTAGTTATTAGAGCATTTTAAGGACTTTTTCCTGAGAAAAAGCAAAAGCATCACCAAGACCTACATAAGACCTGTTCATTACTGTTAATAAGGTAACAAAGCCGATAAAATCTAAGCTGAATCTAATCAGGCCGAATAAAGCTTTTAAGGGAAAAAACAGGAAGGCAAGGAAAATATAAAACGTCAGGGCTATTAATTTTCAAAGTAAATCGAAAAAACATGCATCCACCATAAAAACCGCTGACAACACAAGGACATTTTCCAATGTGGCAACTAAGTCGACAAAACATAAACAGAGACACGAAAGAACGATAATTCAATTTTTCCCGCAAAAAATTCAATTTCATACATACTGAAAAAAAAATGTACAGCCGGGACTCGAACTCGGACTCAGACATAAAAGTACATGTGCTACCGCGCTACTTCTAGCCAAATGGGATGACGTTGCTAAGGTTCTCTAATAAAGCAGCCTCACAATTTCTGAAAGATTTGTAAGAAAATCTAATTCCCGATTACAAGACAATTGCTCTCACAAGTGTAAAAATTAAGAGCAGTAAAATTGTTTTATGTAAAATCGTAGTCCTATTTATATTCTTTTCGGTGAAATTTACTCATCAGAGTAATTCAAATCGAAAATTATGACTGAGACTTCCAATACTGAATCCGCTGGCACTTCTGTTTGTTCCACGAATCAAAACAACGTTTCTCTCAACAATATTTTTAAGTAGACCGAGTACATTTTTTTGATCAAATTTAGTTCAAATAAAGTCATGCAGTCTCAAACCATCATTTATAATTCTTTTTAACACAAGAAATGGTTTTTAAGTTTCAGTTACTTTCAAACGTTGGTTTTCCAGGAGGATATCGACCCCCTTTTATGGATCCAACAGGGAACAAGGAGCTCAGTTTTTCCACTTCTGCTGGAGTTAATTCGACTGCAAGCGCAGCAATGTTTTCTAACAAATGTTTTTCAGATGTGGTTCCAGGAATAGGGCACACATCCAGGCCTTGGTGATGCACCCAAGCTAACGCCAGTTGACCCATTGAGCAACCTTTTTCTTTAGCAATCGGCACTAGCTGGTCGACTTTTGCTATATTTTCATCAAAATGTTTCTCGCCCAGCCTTGGAACCATAAAACTACGAATGTCTTGCTTCGGAATTTCAGCCCATTTTTTAAATGCACCTGCCAATATTCCTTTTCCCAGCGGAGAGTAAGCAACGATGCCAACTCCTAGTTTTCGACAAGTTGGAATTACTTCCTTCTCAAATTCCCTCGCAAAAAGAGACCACTCAAGCTGTACTGCGGCAATGGGATGGACACTATTTGCTCGCTCAATTGTCTTTGCAGACGCCTCGCTCAGTCCAATGTGACGAATCTTACCTAATCACACAAGGAGGATGAAACTCAACGTCACGGAAGAAAACCAACAAACTTGCAATGGAAAGTAAAATGAGCAATCACCTTCTTGGACCATCAATTTCAGCTCGCCAACTGTTTCTTCAATAGGAACTGAGGTATCAATTCTGGCTAGATTAAACAGATCAAGGTAATCAGTGTCCAGGCGCTTCAAACTTTGCTCAATGGAATCCCTCACTCTCTTAGGGTTTCCGTCTGGTTTGAAGGCTTTCCCAAGACCACCTTTGGTTACTATTTGCACATTACTTCGAGGAACTTCAGCAAAAGCTTTGCAAAGCATGGTTTCATTTTCGCCCCTGAACAAACAATTGGAGTCAGACTAAAATAGTCAATCAATCGAATAAATCAAACAAAGGCTGAGTTACTTATTTCCGTAAAACTGCGCTGTGTCGAAATGTGTGATTCCGAGACTGAAAGCTTTACGGACAACTTTGATGGCATCTGCTTCCGATGTCTTTTGAGCAGTGAAGAAGAATGCATCAAACCCCATGCAACCAAATCCCTGTCTGGATACAACGAACTTTTCCTTTCCTAACGATATCGTTTCAATTAGCGATGACATGTTTCTAAAGCCGCAAAAATTTCTCGATATCAACCAGAAAGCAAACTATTCAGAAAACATACCAAAACTTATTACCGTGAAATCGGCTTTCTCCAGGCCTAAAAACAGAATCATTTTAAACAGGGACCCTGAGACAAAAAATTTTATGCCTAGTTTGATAGTACTTTTACGCGGCGAAAAAATTCAATCAAACTATCAAATGCTGCAATAAATGCGAACATAGGCAAATATCCGAGGTCAGCATTGAGAAAGTGACTAGGCAACCAAAAGAACGTTTCCAAATTTTCTATTATTCATATCTTGAAATCTTTTCGACAATAGCCACGATCAATTCTTTACACCGAGATTCGCAAGCATTGAAAAAAAGTATGACACAGAGGCGAAGCTGAGCTTCGGACAACTTGCGATACAAAAGAAGAAAGCCGCTAAGTAAAAAAAAATCGAAAATTTCGAAAAAAAAAAACTAATCTAACAAAAAAAATGAAGCTAGTTTTCAAATAAAAAACATGCCAAGACAATGGAATATGAAAAAAGCATAGGAAGAAATTTTACCAAACGGTAACACAGCCGATAAATTTCTTGACAGAAATCCTTTAAGATGAAAAAATCAGCAAGACGTAATTTAATAAGTCCCCCTCACCCTCAAAACACAGAAATACACACATAGAGACGAAATATGACCATTAAACCGATATAATATAGGCCAAAACCTATCAAGCCGAAAGGAAAAGAAAAAAGCCGAAAACCTTTTTATTTATATTAACAGTTTCAGCATTTTATGCGATCCAGAGGGGACCATAAAAATTTCGTTTTCCTTGAAACGAATCGAAATTAATTCACAAAGCCAATAAAAATAAGCCGAAATCATTGGGCAGAATAAAAATATTAACCAAAAAGTAAGTAACATAAGAAATCAAGGTTAGTAAAATTACAAACATCCCAGGTACACAGAACACTTAAAGTAACTATAAAAAAACATGAAATTTACAATATGAAAACCAAGCCGGTAAAACATAAGCAGACAAATAATGAGCCGACAATTGTTGTGAAACGAATATTTGAAAAAAAACAGGTTTCTTCAATAGGAACTGAAGAAACCTTGTTTTCAGTTGTTTTCAGATTCGAACCCCAGACCTTCGCCGTCTCACTCAGGCGTATTCGTTACCTCCAGACCGAATGTACCGGAAACGCCAAGATATTAAAATTAATTAACAACTGAAACTAAATTTACCCAATTTTGGCCATTCTGTGCCTGAAGTTATTTAGTGGGTAAAATTCTAGCACCCGATTGCAATACCCTTGTCAAAAAACATTAATCAGCACTACCTTTGGTATTTACCGTATATGCGAAAATTACGTGGGAAAACAATTGAGTTTTAAAAAAAATGCCAGAGGAAATTGTAGTCATACGTTTATGAGTGTCCCAGGCCTTCCCCCACCATATTTGATTATAAAAAATCACCCATATGTATAGAAAGAAAGTGTAGAAAGAAGCATTAAATTACAGAAAAACAGTCAAAAAACAACAATCCGCACAACATACATCTTTGGCATTTGCATGGATGAACCATTGAGTTCAAATCAAAAAATGCCGAAAGAAATTGTGGTCTTAAATGAGACAAAGGACATAAAATAAATCGAAATAGTCAACATAGAGGCTGAGCGGAGCTTAGCATCACTTGAGATTTGAGATCCCACAAGCTAGCAGACAGGAAGAAAACGGAAAACTTTTCGAAGAAACCGCAAATTGAAAACTTTAAAATGTTGCCTGGAAGGATGTTCTATTTGCAGAAAACATGTTCAGAAACACATTCGACGGCGTTGAATCAAAACTCTAAGCAATTATTAAGCAAGAAAAATGTCCGGAAAAACTTTGAACTATAAATTATACGAAATCGTTAAGGCCGAAAACATTTTCAAGCGAAAAAGGAAAATATACGAAGTCAAGGCTAGTAGAATTAGAATTTGCAGGAGTAAATGAAAACATAGAAAGCAACTCCATTGAAAGCTGCATACGGCAAAAAAAATTAAGATGTGACAACTCAGCCGACAAAACAGATGCAAACAAACCTTTGCCGTCCCTGGCGTATTCGTTAGCTCCAGACTAAGGTGCCGGAGACACTTAGAAATTTGAATTCATAATGAATCAAGATACCAAGTTATTCTGTTACGCAAGGTGTTAATCCGATTTGATACGTTTGCTAATCGCAAACGTAATCAATGAAGACAATCAAAATAAAAACTTTTTTGATCATAAAAAAATCCATGCTTTGAAAATTGAACCGACAAAAATAAACAGAAAAACAAAAACCAAACAGATCATTTTTTACCGTTAATTTTTTTTCTATTAGTGAAAAAGGTCTGATTACTGTCAAACTCAAAAACTATTATGCAAAGGCAACCACGCTACCTCTTGACAAAGTTGGAGGGAGCCTGGAAGGTTCAATAATACGGCGAATTGAATTTGTTCAAAAAGTCTAATTGCCGATAACCTCACACATGCTCTCGCAAGTATAAACTCACTTCAAGTTATAAAACCTCACTTAACAAATTAACGCAAATCAAGTTATAAAACCTCACTTAACAAATTAACGCAATTATAAAAAATTGTTTGTTAAGAGAGGGAAACTGAATTATTTTCAAGCTATCAAATGATTTTTCTTAAGTTGAAAATGATTTCGTTAGACATAATGACAGTAAATATTTTCAATTATACGCTCGGCCCTTGGAACATTCTGCTCAGCGCAGATCATCCTTATACAACAGACAGATACGTCAAACTATCAAGGCAACTTGGCGGTCAACATTGAGGGTAAGAAACAACGGTAGTCGTTTAGAAGTTTGGTCTAGCCTTGATGAGCCGTTCAAAAATTCGTTTAGAAAGTGTTTCCACCAGAAAATTTCAAATCTACATGAAATACTGCAAGCAAGCGGATAAGAACAAAACTAAAACGTGAAAACATTTTTTCGCTAGATTCAGTACTTTCTACTACATTAAACTTTAAAAGAAATTTCAATTGACAGACAAAACTAGAAATTATCAGCAACAACTTTTTTACATGGGACCGATTTTTTTTGCATGGGACTTTTACATGGGACCAAAATTAGTTTTTCGGAAGTCAAATAACACACAGAAGATCCAACACTCCCGAACTTTTTTTCTTCAAATGAGTTGATGATAAGACCAAACAGAAGTCTATTTAACTTACACGAATAAGAGATGTTGGTCTCACTGCTACGCCTGCAGGATGCATGACTAATTTCTGAAAAAAATCTCATTACGTTATTAGAGAAACCTCTTCGTAAACTTAAATTCAAACTCCAAGAGTCAAATAATCTGGTGGCCAGTCAATAAGCAGATTGGTCTATGAGCAGAACCATGAGCTGAATAGGTCCAGGAGCAGAAAACCAGAAAAATATCAACTTTCATTGATTTATACCGGCTAATTGATTGAACAATTATCACAATCGTCTATAAAATTAAGAAAATGAATAAATTATGCATCAATTGAATAATTTCACCAAGTTTTTTTGAATTAAAAACAATCTCGACTAAATTACTCAAATTATGCATAAAACATTAGTTTCTTTGGTAATAGTGTCTATTCTCATACTTAATTTACTGATTAGCTTATAAAAATTAATTTTTCTGCTCTCCGACCTATTCTGCTCTTAGGCAATTCTGCTTTTTGCTCCGCCTGCAATTTTCCGATTAGCTTATAAAGGTTAATGTTTTTCAGCTCTTGGAACCATTCTGCTTATTACTCCGCCTCCGAATAATCTATAATGGCGCTGAGGGCTACGTAGCAAAGAGTAACCCAATCGGTACTACTATGATAGAGTGGTCTCTCGAAAAAGCAACTATGATAGACAGGTCCCGCATGCATATTGCATGTTATAATTATGAAAACTAGTTGGTTTAAATTATTCATTTCAAAAATCTTGCAAAATATGTTCAGCCAAAAAAACTTTTTAGATTGAAAATTTTAATCACTATTGTTTATATATTGAAATTTGCTCGCTTTGCTTTATTTTACGGTTTAACAACCATATGATTGGGTTGACTGATTTGTCATCGAAACCCACTATGGGCGGTTTTTTTTTAGATTTTCAACTTTAAAATGGTTAGGGGAAGGTTTTATAAGATAACAAAACATAAAATTTATGAAAATATACTGCGACATCTTTCTGAAGGGCTGAATCATAATTATTAAACGATTTGAGAGCTCTAGGTGTCTTATTCTCAAGGGACCTGGTTATTTTCAAGGGACCACTCTATCATAGTAGTACCACCCAATCATTAAGCCTTATCAAACGAGATGGTCAAAAGTATCATAGTAACCGAGGTTACAGTCGGGAGTCCCTTCATCACGTATTCCAGTCAAAATCCTTGGAATTTTCTAGATATGGAAGTGATAATGATAAAAGAAGATGACAAGTGTTTAAGTCCTTTTCAATTAAAATCGATACGGGTTACGTTTCTTCAATAAGAACACGCAACTCGACACGAGAAAATATAATACACAAGTGTTACAAATAAAAAATTTCGTCGAAAGTTATTTTGTCATTTATTGTTCCGAGTACGCAAGCGGCGTTCGCAATCTGTATTGCCAGGGAGATTCTCTGTTTTAAAAAGCTGCCTGCTCTGGGTTCCTCATTCTATTCATCTCTATGAGATTCTCTGTTTTAAAAAGCTGTCTGCTCTGGGTTCCTCATTCTATTCATCTCTATGAGTACTATTCATCTCTATGAGTAAACAATAATGTACGTATGTATGTATGTACTATAGATAATATAGTAACAGTCATTGATAAAAATGGCTACTATGTGAACGAAAGCAACAAGACCTTCTTCTTCTTACGACCATCATTCTGCACACTTCCTTATTCTTACAGTTATAAGATCTTCCACTACTGGACAAATGTAATATTAGAATTTGAAACACCCAGCGCGAGATTTGAGATTAGATAATGACATCATATGCGAACAAAAGAAACCAC